CATAAAGATAAAAAGGGCACTGATTGGGGGTTGCCTGGGTGGCTCAGTTGGTTAAGCGTCTGACTCTTGATTTTGGCTCAGGTCATGATCTTGGGGCCATAGGATCAAGCCCCATGTGGGGCCCTGTGCTGGGCATGAAACCTGCTTGGGATTATCTCTCTTCCTCTCACTCTGTCCCTTCCTCCCCTGCCCCCTACCCCCACTCGCTTTCACACGTGTGCCCTCTCTCTCTCTCAAAAACAATGAAAGAGCACTGATTGGCTTTTGGGCCCCTACAGCAGAGGTTCTGCATTACATTTAGCATATGCTAAAATGGACCAATTGATAAACCTTTATGGATTAATCAATACTGGGGTTCAAATTCCTGTTATACCTGGGGATTCCACTGAACTTAAACTTGATACCTCCTAATTTGAGGAGAGTAATTAAATATGATAGAGAAAACTCAGTATGCCTCACTTTATAGCTTCGCCTAAATTTTCCATCGTCATAATACCCATTGCCCTATAATATTCCATCCTTGTATAAGGTTTGGCACAGTGAATACTAAATTAAAATTAAATTAAGCCTTTGACAATTATAAATTGGCTTACCCAAATAAGACTATGTGGACACCCCCATTTAAATTGGTTAAGATGGCTCAGTGTAAGTTAATACAGGACCTCCAAGTATTAAAACGTATTATTACACAGGATTTAATTAATGAATAGCTGATTGTCCTCACTGCTTCTCCTTTTGAGAGTCCAATTTTGCCTGTTCTTAAGCCAGAAGACTGACTGGTGTCTCATGGTCAATTACTGCAAGCTTAAGGCTATGTGGTCCCATTCATTAAGGTCTCCAGACCCAATATCCAATATTACTGAAGTTACTAACTCCAACTGTAAATATTTTGCTCCTGTAGATTTAGCTAATACATCCCGGTTAGTGCCTATTTTGACAGCCTCTCACCTGCAGTTCGCCTTCACCTCTACAGGGATATAACATACCTTTCACAGGCATGGGTTACCTTAGCAGCCTTGCCATTGCACACAGTTTTTGCAGGCAACATTTTAACTGCCTCCACCTTTCTCCAGGGGGACAGAAGGGACATTGCATTGCTGACATGCTCCTCCAAAAAGTTTCATTTGCCACTCAGTAAGGATTCACATGTCAATATCCTTTAGTCCTTTTTCAGTTCTGGAGGCAACCTATTCCTCATTTACAAATTTTACTTAATCTCATTGATCTTGCTACTTATAAACTCACTGTAAATGGAATTCTCTCCAACGAAGGCTGTACAATCTGTGCAAATTAAAATCAACAGGCATTCCCATTAGTTCCCCCAGAAGCTCCTTCACTGTAGAGACTTTAACAACCTCTTGTCACACTCCCTGAAATCTCTGGACCACCTGTGATGACCATAAATTGCTGATGGGCTTCTGACTCAAGAGACGATCTTTCTCGACCCAGTGCTATACACCATTAAAGTGAAAATTGCTGGCCATGTACTGAGGTCTTTTGAGATAAGAGACTCAGAGATTCTGAGCCTGTGACCTAGTGTATCCAGCTGCCCATTATGTTTTGGTCCATGGAATTAGAACCACATAACCTCAGCAAGACTGCAAAGGCCTCCTTGATTCAGGATGGAGCTAAACTTGAGCCCTTTGGCATTTTCCACCTGCAGGAGGGGGTGAGTTCCCCTTTCTCAGTCTTTGGCAAGACACCATGTGCTGGAGGGGGTCATCCCTCCTCAAGATGCCTTGGCTACCTGGATTAACTGAGTCAATAGCATGGGAATCCATAGAATGTATGAATGACATTGCCACCATCATAAAATTGATGGAGCTAAGTGAAATGTAGCTACCCCTTATTAAGGATTCCCTGAATAAAAATGGGACCCAAGGTGAGCACAATTGGCCAAACTTCAGAGTGCATTTTAGCACTGTATGTTAGCAAATGGCTCCATTTGCATATTTTTTACAAAGTTTTGGGCCAGCGCCTAAAAATTGTGCCATTTAGGATTAAAAAACAAAATAAAACAAAAACAACAAAAAACCTCTCAACAACTCTGGGAATCTCTTGCCCCACAGATTTATGGAAACATAAATCAAGACCACACATCTCTACTTATTGTAGGGCCACAATATAAGGTCTCATAGGACACTCCTTACCCCCTTGGAGTTTCAGACATTGCTAATAGTAACCAACGCACACATGACACTTCTCTGAATATATAATGCTGTGCTTTTTAAAAGGCATCTGATGGAATGTTCATCTCCCCAGTAGGTCCCAGGCATCCCGTTAAATTGGGACACGTAAAGATTTCCTCAAACAATTACTATTTAAACTGCAGTCTGACAAAGGGATTCCTAAATGGCTCTCTTTCTTGCCCAAGGCCTTAATTTCTATTAATGCAAGACCCTTTGGCTGATTTACACCTCACACCAACTATAAAAATACATTCTTTTAGCCTTTTCCTCTATTTAAAAGGGGGATATGTCTCACTGCCATGTCTATAGAGACTAATTATATATGAGGTTCTTTAATAACATCTGTCAGTGTATTTATTGATTTTTCTTCCTGCTTCTATTCCGCATGGGACTGGAGGTTAAATCAAAGGTGCATTCGCTCCTGGGACCTGTTACCCATTAGACTGTCCATCTAGTATGAAACCCATGTGAAGCTAAGCTTCAACCACCTAAAAAACCTCCTTAGTACTCAGATTATAAGGAGTGGCTAATTAATCCATACCCTCCCTCAAATCCCCTATAGGAAATTAAATTGAGTTCTCTAGACCCATTCCCACAGACAGTGTAATCTATCAAAAGGGAAGATTAAAAAACCCTGGTTCATAAATAAAAATCACATTCAAAAATAATAATAAAGTCAATGCCACATATCCCATAATTATAAAACCAGACAACCCTTCCCTGGTAATAATATGTGCTAGAGATCAACATCAGACAACAAAAGCCTATCAAGTGCATACACACCAACATGTTTAGTGTTGGTCTTGTTACTTCTGGTCTGGGTGCTTTCATTGGTTTGGGATCCAGAGGTCCAAACCCTTCAAGTAAGCCATTATTTCAACCAAATATGGCAAATGCTAAGGCCCACATGCCATCAAGTTTTGTTAATACAAGTGCTGTGGATCCAAGACTTTGCTAACTTGCCTGTCAGTCACCAAACTGACAAATGAGGCTTAGAGACCACAGTAATTGGTTCAGGTGGAGGGTCTACCTACAGAAAGGATCAGAGATCTACTAATGCTTTGAATGTAGCCTTGTGGGACCGTAAGCAGGGTACCTAGATGAACCATTTCCTGCTTACAGCTATAAACTGTAAAATAATACATTTGTGATGTTTTTGGATGCCAGGTTCAGGGTGAGTTGTTATGAGAGCAATAGGTAATTGAAATTATACATATAAATATGTATAGGCACACACACATATATGTGTGTATATATGTGTATATGTATATGTACACACACAGTTTATATATATTGAAGAGATGAACACACACACACAGTTTATATATATTGAAGAGATGAAATGGAGAGAGAATAATGATATTCAGAGATGAATACCATATTTTAAAAATATTTATAGACACATATTTTATTCAATAAACACTCCCATTAGTTAAGGTTCTCAGTTACCTACAACAGGATTCACTCTGGCTAGATAAAGCAGGATAGAAACTTTTTATTTTATTTTTTTTTAAAGATTTTATTTATTTGACAGAGAGAGTGAGAGAGCACAAGCAGGGGTAACAGTAGAGGGAGAGGGAGAAGCATGCTCCCCGCCAAGCAGGGAGCCCGATGTGGGGCTCAATCCCAGGACCCTGAGATGATGACCTGAGCCAAAGGCAGACGCTTAACCATCTGAGCCACACAGGCGCCCCAGGACAGAAACTTTTTAAACACTTAAAAATAATGAAAAAGATATTGGGAATTTCAGAGTCTCCAAGAAGTCTAGATAGAGAGCAATAGTCATTATATGGGAAATAGTCCAAATACACATAGGACTTTGTAACAAAAACAATAATTAAACAAACCAACAAACAAAAGGATACTCAAACTAATACTTCCTATATTCTTAGACCCAGGAGTTACTGTTAAATGTCACAAATACATTTTTGGTGAAATGCTTTTTATAAAATTAAGCTTAATTACATTAAATAAGTCTGTTTTCCCTTATTTCCAGCCTCAAAGAACTCCACCATCTTTATAATAAGACATTTCAGAATATTCTAACCTAAATAGAATTAGTGGAAATATACAAGATAACATTTGTGTAAAAATATTTTCTCACCAGTAAAATCTAGATGATACATATTATGGGATTTTCAGAATGGTCCTAAATTACAGATGCAGAAATTAGCTTTATATACATTATATTAACTAATAATTACAATATTAAACAACACTATAAATTTATGGAATTCAGACTCTCAGTTTACATGTTTGAAGAGCTAAATACAACTAGCTATACGTTTTGGATCTCAGTACAGGAAAAAAAAATCAATTCCAAACCTGTAAGACATTAGTTTGAAATGATTTTTCTTTCTTTATTTTAAGATTCTTAGCACATCTCCTTTTTGTAACAAGAATTGAGTTATGATCTTTTCACATTTTGCATCATAGCATAATTCAGTGCATGGTTTTCAGAACCATAATTCCTAAGCATGTACTTTGCCTACAGATTCACTTGAGAAATCCCATTCTTTTCACATACCCCGCATTAAAACAGGCAGTTTGCTCATACGTACAAATAATGTATTAATAATAATAATGAAAACATCTAAAAAGGAAAGCATTCCAAAGTAGTATTTCTTGGGAAATGAATTAAGTTATCAGAAGGTTGTTAATAAGGACTAAAGTTCTTCATCCTTTACCCTTTCTGGGGAATAAGGCAGTGATAACATGTCTTCTGTGGTTTAAGGATAAAGCTGTATTTTTTTTTTTTTTTTTAAAGAATGTCAAATGAGTCTTACTCTGAGTGATTCTTTGAACTTACAGGATGGTGGTTTGACTTGTAAAGAGATAAAGTCTGTAAAAATAAAGCAGAGAAGACCTTCTTCAGGTATCTCAAGGAAAAATTTGAGTTGTCTGGATAAACTGGTAACTATCTTTGCACCTGGTGAGTAGCAAAAACAAATTTACACTGCAAATGAAATAAGGCAGCAGGGTGTGTGTGTAAACTTTTGTAGTACATAACTTCATGAAAATGACATGAATAAGAAATGTAGTGGTATCACAAATAACCAAATTGTCTCCATTGAGGTACTTGATAAGTGCAAAATCACCAATCTGTGTATAGTTATACCGTACAACACTCAAATGTAACATACCAAACTTCCCTTGGGCATAACCATCCTATGCTAAATATGGGCCCATGTGCAGTACAGTAATGTAGCTCATGATCTTACTTAGGTTTGGCAAAGCAGAGGCCGTGGCTATTATAGTTTCAAATGATTACCCTGTGAAAAAAATTTTTTAAAGATTTATTTATTTATTTGAGAGAGAGAGTGAAAGAGTTCAAGCAGGGGGAAGGGCAAAGGGAGAGGGAGAGAATCTTCAAACAGGCTCCCCTCTGAGCACAGAGCCCAACACAGGTTTTGATTCCAGGACCCAGAGATCATGACCTGAGCCAAAATCAAGAGTCGTGTGCTTAACCGACTGAGCTGCCTAGGTACCCTCCCCCCTTTTTTTTAAGTAGGCTCCATTTCCAGCATGGAGCCCAGTGCAGGGCTTGAACTTAGCTCCGTGAGATCAAGACCTGAGCGGAGGGGTACCTGGGTGGCTCAGTCGGTTAAGCACCCAACTCTTGGTTTTGGCTCAGGTCATGATCTCATGAGTCCTGGGATGGAGCCCAGAGTCAAACTCTGTGCTCAGCCTGGAGTCTACTTGAAGATTCTTTCCCTCTACCCCTCTCCCACTCTCTCTCTCTCTCTCTCCCCCCCCGCCGTCTCTCTAATAAATAAATAAGTCTTAAAAAAAAAAGTCCTGAGCCAAGATCAAGAGTTGGACACTTAACCGACTGAGCCACCCAGATACCCCAAAAATATTTTTATTTAAAAAGTTTATTCAAAGAAACAGTAAGCTTAAACAACTTTCCTTTATAAGATTCAAGTTTATAAGTTTTATAGCTCTAGGAGCTTGTTGATAACATCCAGTCCCAGGACTTACCTTATAGTTTGAGTTAAATGTTGAGATAGACAAAATTCTAAGATAGTTTCCTATGACCCACACTTATATAATCCCTTCCCCATGAGGGGTGGGCAGAACTGTGAATATTATGGAGTATCACTTCTATGATTAGGTTAGTAATCAGCTAACATTTTGTTAGTCAAGTAGAAGATTAATCATGCGACATCTTAAACTAAGGTGAAGTGTCAAGAGAGTCTCCTGTTAAACTTGAGGTAGGAAACAAATGACCAAGTTATGAACTGCACACAGAACTGCACACAGAGGGCCTTGTTCCACAGCCACAGAGAAATGATTTCTGCCAACACACTGGAAGAGCTTGGAAGAGTACTGAGCCTCAGATGAGACAGCAGCCCCAATTGGTGCCTTAATTTTCACCTGGTGGGAACCTGAACCGAGGAGCCTGCTAACTCATGCCTGGACTCCTGATCCATGGAAACTATGAGATCATATAATTTTCTCAGCTACTAAATGTGTGGTAATTTGTCATATAGTAGTAGAAAAATAACACAGTAGTGTCTTACAAAACAATAACTGGTGTTCTAAAAATAATTGGTAATAGCAAGAACTAAATTTCTCTCGTAGAATATGGATGAAAAATTTGATTTTCTGTAGTTCTTAGATAAGTAACATAACTGAGTAAAGAGAGCAGACTATAGAAGATAGTAGGGAATTGTAGAATGTGTGCTGAATTGAAGGATCAACTCCACTTCAGCAAGTGGCAGTGATGTTAAATGTGACCAAATATTACATTTTTTAAAACAAACCAAAGAAATCTAGGTTTTTGTTTTTTTTCTTTGTTTATGATGTGAAATCAGTTTGCAACATGCCCCACCCCCAGGGGGATAAATCTCTGTGGACCAAACAGAAGTCAACAGGACAGCATTTTGTAAACTGTGGTATAAAGTTTAAGAGTAAATATATTGGCTTAAGTTCTCCTTTTTAAAATCATCTTTGTGAATGTTTGTCCATAGGTAAACCCTTCTACTTTCTGTCTCATTCAGTTATTTTTTCCCTCTACATTCATTCATTGAAATAATCATTGAGTGTCTGCTATGCGACAGAGGCTATTTAATACATAATGTACAAAGAATAAAAAAAAAAAATCCCAACCTATATGAGGTTTATTTCTAGCAACATTATACATGGAAAAAATAATTAAAATGTATACAATGTAAATGTTAATAAGACCTATAAGGGGAAAAAAACAGTGAAGAAATTATGGAGAGATGGGTGGTGGGGTGGAGGAAGACTGTTTCATGTGCTTGTACTTTATTCCAGGCAGTTTCCTATGTGCTAGACCAACAGCATACAGTATAGGGTATTAAGGAAACATGCAGGAATGCCAGAAGGAGACTTTGAAAGTTCCTAAAATGTGTACAAGCTTTCAAATATTTGCTAGGCATTTTAATTAAATAACCTGTAAGTGTCCTTTTACCCTTCTGAGCTCCAGTGATTTAAATTGAAGATCCCCTGTGGTCTCAAAAGGAAAATCTTTTCAAATTCTGTATGAGAATTCAACCTTTAAAACTTGAGATCTCCACAACATTCCATGAATCCTTTGGGAAGTAATTGTCCCCATGAACTTTCATTTGAAGTCATGTCTAGAAAGACTTTTGATATGTGTAAAACATGGAGACTGTTTGGTTCTGAGTTTTGCAACTTTTCTAGAAGTACAAGAGTTCTAAAAATCTCCATTTTCAGCATCACTAGCAAAGGTGACCTTAGATGCTTCAAATATGTTCTCCTGAAGTTGGAACCACACATAAAGTTAGCAGCCTTTAAGCTGTGGTAGGGAATGAGGAGACAGAAAGGCTCTAGTCGTGGTGGAGTAAACAGTCACTCCAGTAAGGAAAGGATCACACCCAGAAAGGAACCTGCTATATCTAGGATGACGATGGAACAGGGTTTAAGTACTAGTAAAATTCAATAAAGAAGGCACAGAGTTTGCCAGAGTGACCTAAACATGTCAGTTTTCAGAAAGCTCTACTAAAAGTTGACAAAAATAAATTCAGTGCTTCTCTCCTTAGAAATCAAAGGCTGTGTCTCTTGGTGGTGATGGTGCCTATGAAGTAGTCTGAGAAGGAAGAAAGGAAGCTCAGGAGCTGCACCAGCTCCTCTGCTCCAGGTTGGCTTCTTCGTGTCAGAGTTGCTACACAAATTTTGGAGGTATAAAGAAACATTCTCTACTGTAGCAATAGAAGAGGAAGCCATAGCGTGGCAAAACTTGAAAGCTTTCTTTCCTACTCCATCCCTTCCTGAGGAACCTCTTGAATCAGTTCAAGCAAATTCAATTAATTAAAATTTGAGTAACAAAAAATGGGGTGTACTTTCAATAAAGATAGAGTTATATGGACAAAAATTTGTTGAAAAAATACAAAGTGTGAATTTGTTTTTGTCCCCTATACACTGCTTTCAAAGTGCTTAGCAGTAAATGAATTGCAAGTTAAGTGACTGCTAATCATAAAATTCTCTTTTTTAGAGATATTTTATAGTATTGTGACCATGTTAGAAGTTATCATGTGTTTGTCTCTCAATTTAACAGTTGTTTATGCTTTCTAAAACACTTTCTGTATCTTCTACAAATATCTGATGTTTTCTGACCCCAGAAGCAAAGAGGAAATTATTGGTCTGTTGAAAGAAAAAAACAGAAGGCTGAGTTAAATTGCTTTTCTAAAGGACAACACAAAGTAATTACATAGTAAGGGGTTAAGATCTGGAACAAATTTAGCAGGATATAATGGTTAAATGTTGCCCTCTAAAACCTACAATATTGGGGATTAAGATAAAAGTAAGCCATTATCTATAATTTGTCATTTTTCAGAAAATAAATTAATGCTTTTTTAAAGCTATTACCTGGGTACAACTGTTAAATTTTCTTTCCCTGTTAAAAAAAAAAAAATGAGTGCCAAAGATGGTCAGTAGAAATAGGCTATCTCTTTCTTTTCTTTATGTAATTTTACAGGGTGAAACTTTAAATATTGTTTCAACCTTCTTTTACCTGGAGTTGAGTATGCACATAATGAAATAGTACATTTGGATTGATTTCACCAGTTAACTTGGTGAAATTGCCAGTTGTTCTTTTTCTTTGAATTCAGACTGATTTGTCAGCCGTTGTCTTACAAGTTGAAACTTTTTACTGTGAAGAGATCAAAACTGTCTTTCCTTTATGTTATTTCAGTTCTTATTAGTAAAATACATTCAGTTCATATGCCATCTTCTTATCAGAGGTATGTCTACCTTTCTCATCCTTCCTCCCAGGGACAGTACCCTCATGATGGTAGAGGTAAAGACTGTGGTCCAAAACTGTGTCTTTGTTGAATTTGCTGCACAGTGGATGGTCAGAACTGCATCCTTGTGATTTTTGCAGTGAGGAGTCTCGTAGTGTGACCATTATTACCATTTCTTTTGGATATCATGTTAGTACTCACAGCAGAAGTCCAGGTGCTTGCTGTTTTCCTTCAAACACGAGGTTTCCATATTTTGTGGCTTCCATGACCTCATATTATCGAGCAGCCACTAGTTCTCTCTGCACAGTTGTGTCCTTTGTGTGGCACACCTGTTTCTTTTACACCAAATGGAGCCTATGGGAGATCAAACTACTAGTTGATACTTATTAATTAGTCTCCATCTTAAACTCCTGCTTTTCTGTTACTCCAACACTGCTGGATGCAGTGGGGACATGGAGTCCCAGCTTACATTTTCCTGTGTTTTTTCCTCACCTAACTGGGTGTCTTTGAGTACTATAGTCATTTTATTTGTTTTATTTCCAAACTCTCTCCATCCTGCTATACATTTCCTCTTTTGCTTTGCTTTTGGAAACATCCTGTATGTTAGGGTTTCCCTTTTCTGTTTAGTGCCACATTGAGATCAACTAACTCAGACCTAATGGTGAAATAACTGCAAAGAAAAAAAGAATCAACTGATTATAGTAATTTTCTAACACATCAGAGTTCACTATTTTAACAAGATTCCCCAAGTAAACTTCAAATTTTCACACCTCACCTCAAGATTATTAGGCTCTAATAATCCATTCTTTCCTATTGCAGTAGGTTGCAGTGCCCAATTCCTGAATTTAATGGTAAGGGATTGAAATAGAACAGAAACACACAAAAATAGAAGAAAAATATGAATGTCATTATAATACATTATGTAGTCAGGGAATAAAAGTTATTAGCCATGTTTTCTCTTAAATTTAATTTACTTTTCTTGAGTCACGCATCTTAATCAACCCAGTTTAAGTAATTATCAGATAACATCTGAGCAGGCTCAATAACTCAGGATTTAGAAAGGAAATACAGAATTTGTTAAGAATGACAATTATGATTAGGTAATAAACGATATACGATTTACTAATGACTAACAAAGACCCAAATTAATAAATGTCAAATTAAAATTTTATACATGTGGTCTCTGCTAATAGCATAAAATCCTTAAACACTAGAGAATTGCTAAAACTCTTTGGTAAGGGTGGATATAAATATTGGTTTAATCGGGATCCTCTCCTTTTGTTGTTTTGAGTTGCAGTATTTATTGAACTTTTGAACCCCTTTTATTCAAATCTCATCTGTTGATTCATATCTGTTCTTTCTTTTTGTTAACACTAATCTGTCCTCATTTACATAGAGTGCGTACTCTACATATACTATGTTCAATTGCTAATTTTCTAGAATGAAAAATGTTCTTTTCCTTCTAGTTAATACGCAATTATTTTCATTCAATGCAGAATAAAAGGAGATCGGGTACTTTAGATCAGTCCAAAACCTGAAAACTACTAACTGCAGCTGCCTCTTACCTAGGAAGTTATGCATCCATCTTCCCCACAATTGTTCAAATAAACCACAGTGACTTACTGGACTGGCCTGGATCTCTGTCTTTTTATGGCTCTCTGATCTGTTATTTAAAAGGAATCCCATTGCAGACAGTCTTTTTGCCCTAAAATGTTTGCAGTAAAAGCAGTATTTAATATTCTCTCTGGCTCCAGAGGCTGAGTTAGATTGTTCAGATTGCTTGCCTACATTCTGACATTAAATGCCTATTGTAATTTGGCAAATATCTAACATTTGGAATACTCTCATTTTTATACTTGTTTGTCTGGAGAAGTATATTTGAGCTTATATGGCAGTGATACTGTTAATAATTGAAGCTTTCAATTAGTCAAATATATATTGCATACTAGATGGAAACATACTTTAGGTTTATATATTTGCTTTTTTCATTCAGTTCTTTTGATGTCATATACAATGCGTGGAATGGAATTCAGATATTTTCTGTGAATTTATATTTAGGCTCACAAACAACATAGTGCGTAGTTACCATTTTCAGAAAAAAATTGACAACTTTGTGTTTGAAATTGTCTTTTTTCCTGTTTGAAATTCTAAAACTTTCTTTTTATTTCATTTATTTGTGTTTTCCAAATGAAAGAGGATATAGCAAATGTAAAACAAAGAAGCAGTAATAATTGAAATATATCATTCATATATCAATTCCTAAAATTAAGTTTTGATAGTGTCACATCTAAAATTGTGACCTGGCAGTTTCTGGAATACTTATTTAAATTAGTAGTTGTCTGAAAAATATTCTGTGCTAATAAGTAAGTGTTCCACAAATAAAAATAGTGCCAAATCACCTTTTAGTTGGTCATTAATTACCATTAATACATTTATTTAAGGGGACAGGGTCATCTAAAAACAGCTAGGAAGTATTCTGAAGCTAGTGACAGCTAGTGATGACTCACAATTAACATCATGCCCTGAAAGTTATTCATTCAATTTATATTTGACTAGAAAAACACTTTTAAAATTGGCTAAGACAGTTAAGCGTCTGCCTTCAGCTTGGGTCATGATCCCTGAGTCCTGGGATGAAGTCCCGAATCGGGGCTCCCTGCTCAGCAGGGAGCTTGCTTCTCCCTCTGCCTGCCGCTCCCCCCTGCTTGTGTTCTCTCCTTTTCTCTCTCTGTCTCTGACAAATAAATAAAATCTTTAAAATAAATAAAATGTGATTTTTACTTTCTTCATTTAAATTAGTCCAAAACGTTGTGACAGTGGAAATTCCTAAAGTGTTAAAAAATTAGTGGAAGTGCGCCTGAAAGTATGAACTGCCTTGAAGACCAGTTTATGTACAAAGACTGTTTCAGAGATTCATCAGATATCTATCTATCCAAATAAGTTTCACATAATTTCTTGTTATAGGGTTACTTTAAATCAAATCTTTAAACCAAACTGCATAGTCTGTGAGATCCACATACAATAATTCCAAGAGATTATTTTCTAAATTTTGTTATTCTCTGTTATGCAGCAGTTTATTGGTTACCTTGCAATGAGACAGAAATTCTGCAGCAAAATGATTCTTGCATGAAATGGAATGCTAAAGCATATTGTGGAATAAAAGAATTCCTATAAATGTTTAAATAAAAATTTTATTGTTACAGAACATTTTGCCCATATTAACATCTGTTCCTGTTTGGGGAGATTTTCTTCTTGGCAAGGTAGGACCTTATCTGTCCAATGATTCTCAACCAGTCCCAGAATGTGTGGAGAGCCGCTCAAAGAGTTCATCACTCTGCACCTGTTCAGGCTGCACAGCCCAATTTTGAACTACAGAGTGAAAGCAGAATAATACACACAAGGTGCTGTAATTCTGCAAAAAGGAATCATTTTATGTGTCTCTTGTTGACAAAATTCATGAATACCCCACATAAGGTGATAGTAAAAAGAAAAATCATTGGATTTATCATTGCAGTCTTTAAATCTTTAGAAAATTCTAACAGCACTATATGGTCCTAAAGTGAACCTGTAAGTATAATTAATTATTAACCCAAGTTAAATGCTTCATATACCATATTTTTTACTTACTCAAATCAGTCATCTTATGACAGACTACCTCATCTATCTGTTAGGGAATGCTGGTTGCAGTTCCCAGCAACTTCTTATAAGTCATTTAACTGTAGATTCCTGATCAATTTTGTTTCCCTCTTTAATACTGCAGCCTGTTGGAATCAAGGACAGAATGTGAGTCAGAATTCAGGAATCCAAAGGGACCTTATTTATTAGTATTTCTGTCCTGGGAGATGGCACATAAAAGGCTAATTGGGCTCAGAGTCTGAGGAAACAAAGTTACACTCTTATAAAGTGCAGATTTACGCAATTCCGTGGATTCTCAAAGGATACCTTGGACCTACAAAAGGCTCTGTACCTAAAACACTCTCCTTTTCCCACATCATTCTGCTTATCCACATAGTATGAGAAAACCCCTTTTTTTTTATTTTCTTAAAATATTTTATCTTGAAAAAGTATAGAAATTCAGGAGAAAAGCAAAGTTTGGTTTATTCGAGAAGGAATTTGGCTCCTA